CACTATTTTTAGGTAAATTACCGTTGAATTGTTTCAACGGGCATCTGATAATAGTATAATAGTTTGTAATTCATGGAACTTTTGTTATTTAGGTTGCCATTTGCTCGTGCTTTATGACGCCAGAAAATGTTGCCACTCGTGAAATGTCAACTTAATAGAAGCTCATAAAAATCTTACTCTATTCATATTTGCGTAAAAATCATCGAATCTGTCGTTAATTGTGAATAAAACTTCCTGTTGCATTATGTAAGCTGCAAACTAAACATAAAGATATTGAAACTTTTGCTTTAGCATAAATTTCAGATGATGAATGTTCAATGATGGCTCTCGTTTATGTTACGTATAAATGAAAAATAATGCTAAAAAGGACTCCTTTTGTCTTCGTTCGGCAACAAAATATTTTTCAGAGTTTTCGTGCAATGCTACACAAGACAATATGTGTATAGCCACCCCTAATTTTGTGCTGATAGGCTAGAAAGAAAACTGTTACTCAACAGCACCCTTCGTCAACTCTTAGGTCACTCTTATCCAACAGTGTGATGACTGTCTCTCTTATAATGCACCCACGACTCCAAGTTGCAGAGCGTAATTTTGTCACAACGGGAAGAGAACCATGATTCCTCGGAGTTACAGTCCAGCACACTAAGAAATAGGCCACGCCCGGTATTATACAAGAAATAATAATATATTAAACAGATCGAAATATTTGTTATGTAACAACAAATATAGATAAGTATGCACAATAAAACTGATACACTTGAATGCAACAACTAAGTATGATCAATGTATCAAAAACAATAAAAGCTACATCTTCATGCCTCTGTATTTGCAATGATTTTGCGTAATCGTTTTTGAAGCACTTGATGGAAGCAATTGTGTGTGAATTAAATAGAGATTTTCATGGCGGAAGTAGAACAAGCAAAGCCAGCATGTGGTTATTTGGAGCTAACACTAACTGCAGTGGGAGCCTACAGCTAGAGCTCAACACGCTTATTCAGTAAACGACGGCCCGAAAGATTGCATGAAGGAGTTCTATTCAAAGACGAAATAGACGAACTCCGCGCCACACAATAGCAGCTTTTGTTGTGCCCACATTTCCAACGGTGTCTGCTTCTGTTGTCTCTTGTTAGTAATTCTGCCGTTTTGTCTGTTAACAGTTTGGAAAATGCGGGAATTATATGAAATAGCACGTTTCTTTCTCGAGTCTGTATAACAAACGCACACACTTGCATCGAAGTATTGCGTTTGCTTTTTTTTTTCTTCCTCTCTCTCTTTTTACTTTAGTATTCCTTACAAAATGTTGGCAGCTGTTAAAAATCGGTTTGGATTAAAACCAAAGTTTCAAGTTGTTTTCTGCAGACAGTACTTACAATATGGGATACAACAGTAGGCCTGCAACATGCTATAATATTGATAAGGCTAGTGATTTGTTTACTTCAAGTTACGCTGTGTTAAGGGAAGGTTACAATGATGTAATTGTAGAATGTATTGCTGTAGCACATCACGTTGCATTTAATAACCAATATTCAAATTTAATTTTTTCTTCCTGACAACAAACCAAAGCATAAAGAGAAAGAGCAATAATACTGCCGCTACCTTTATATCAGTGTTGACAACAAACATAAATATGTTCAAGGTACGACACCTTTATATCAGTGTTGACAACAAACATAAATATGTTCAAGGTACGACACCTTTATATCAGTGTTGACAACAAACATAAATATGTTCAAGGTACGACACCTTTATATCAGTGTTGACAACAAACGTAAATATGTTCAAGGTACGACTCCCCCAAAAAAATGGACTTCAAATGGAGTAGCTACTAAATATGCTTGGTAAAATGCGATCACAAAGTGTTTATGTAAGCCTAAAAACTGTCAACTTATACTAACTTGTTCCTCCGCCTATCAATTTTGAGCTTTGAAAGTGATGTGATATGCCAGTTAAACTCTTAAGTTTGATAAATAAAACAATGAATATAATATATTGCTGGCTTTTTCCAACCAACTTCTCTGTTCAAGGGATGGTTTTTAACGTTAGAAAACTTCACCAGCTATTACATTCGTTTATTATGTGTAGTCTAAGAAACCATCTAAAATGGGAAAGTAGATGGATTGATATAAAAGACTGCTCAGCTTACTAACTTTTCTTCGAAATGCACATCCAGAGACAAAAGAAAAAAGCATGTTCTCACCAATAATCACAACAAGAGTACAATGTTAATATTTCAATTAAAACAACAACTTTTTGAATTCAACCGAATGAAATAAATCCCTGTTATCTTACATATTGCTTTAAAATATTATCATTTGTTTATAATATTCTTTGGCGACTAGAGTTTTATTCGATTCATTTGTTTCCTTGTCTATGTTTTAGACCAAAGCTACATAATGGACTATATGCGCGAACCCTAGATTTTAGCATTGTAATTTAGTAAATTTTAGTAAATTAGTAGATTTTTACGCTGGATTAAAAGCCTTAAAATGAAGGAACAGAATATTATGATGTTCCAAAAACTTGTGTTATTTTAAGGGTATTAGTGTCGCGTAATATTAATGTCATCCGAGAAACCACCAAAGGTTCCTATAGAGCAGGAGAAAATCAATTTCAGGCAATAAGAAAGGTATACAAAGTCATTCTATTGTCATATCTTTGGTGGTGGGGGATGTGTGAAAGTAGAGGGATGGGAAAAATCGGATATTTCTTTTCGATTCGAATAAAGGTCTTTGTTTTTCATATATTTAGCAGCCATATTTCTTCACGTGACTCAAATAACACTAATATTTGCATATAAAGTACTGAGAGTAAATCTTTAACTTTCACAACGATATCGCCGTTTTATGGACAATTATGTTAATATGTATCACATACAACGTGTTTTGAATAAGGTTTGGCTTAACACTTATCAAAATAAAGGTTTTGCCATCACCACGTTTATCTTTAACCTTGTTTCGTCTTGACAAGTTGTTAGCGTGTCGGGCTGTGGACCCGAGAATCCACTGTTCGCAAACTAAAATCAAGAATTAAAGAGTGTTTTTTTTAAGAAAGGCTAGGACCATGAAAGATTTAACCAGAACTATTTTCCTGTCCAATGTGTATCACTGAAAGGTTTTTTTAACATAAATTATTTCTTTAAGACTATATATCGATTTACAAATGTACCAGTAAAATTTTGTTACTACCTCACTCCTATATGTTGGGTGTGACGGGGATTCGAACCCACGACCCTCAGATTGCTAGTCGAGCGCCCTAACCACCTGGCCAAATGCCTACTGTCAGTGTTGACAGTCAAAAATATAAAGTGCTTGTTTAAAGTTAAGCACAAAGCCATACAATGAGCTATCTGTGCTCTGCCCTCCACGGGT